GGAGACACGCGGGCTCACTCCGTACCCCGTCCCAGGCAGAGATGGCCCGGAACCTCCCAGAGGTGGGCACGGTCCCTCTGGCACCCGCCCGCCTCACCTGCGTTGCCGCTCCTCCAGCTCCGACTCCAGGGAGCCCAGGGCTGCGCTCTTCTCCACCACCTGGTATGCCATCTGGGGGCAGTTAGGGGCCAGACAGGTGGGCTTCTGTGTAGGACTTCAGCCAGGGTCTGCCACTCCACCCACCCGCCCCCTTATTGAAAAGCAAGTTGAGGCGCAGGTAAACTTAGGGTCTTGCACAGGAATGCACTATGGGGAATGCACTGCCGTTTCCTAGAACAATAGAGGGGACTTAGACTCTGGAATCTAAACACCAGAGTTTCAAATCTGGCATCCCCACTAATTTTCTGTGACCCTGGGGTAGTCATTCAACCTCTCTGAACCTGTTCTGTTTTTCCATCTGTAAATTGGAAATGATAGTGCTTACCTAATATGGTAACAAGGAATTATTATAAGAAATAGTATTTCAAATAATGGCAAATTTTAAATTTTTTTATATAGCATTTATGTGTGCCATGCCTTGTTCTGAGCATTCTACATATACTACCTCTTTTAATCCCTATAACAACACAGGTAGGTACTGCCATTCTTCCCATTTTACAGACAAGAACATCAACACAGATTAAGTTTCTTGCCCAAAGTTACGTAGCTAAGTGGCAGAACTGATATTGGAACCCAAGCCACCTAACATTATGCTCCAAGTAAAGGGCTGGTCCACAGGAGGGGTTCAAGGGATGTGGGTTCTGTTCCCCACCTCTCCAACCCTCCACTTACCCAAGCAAAACATCCGGAGAGTAACAAAGAGCCCTCAGCAGAGGCATACAGGCTAAGGAACAGGAATGGACTGTGGGAGCACAGGGCCTAGACTGAATACTAGAGCTGCCCCACAGCACATGAGTGGGGGTGAAGGTCATCTCATCTATACTCCTATGTCATGAACAATCCTTCAACCAAGAGCCAAGAGCTGGGGAAGCCTTAGAGATAAAGCTCAATTCTCACCCTTTGGAGCTGAGGGATCGGTGGGAGAGACAAACCCCAATAAAAGCAGTTCCCACCAGTGTGGCAAGAGGAACATGAGGAAATAACCAAGGCTGGGGGCTCTATTGCTAACTTGTTCCTGTTCTCATGTGGGCCTGGTGAAGGACACATTGAGGAGCAAGGTTGGTGCAGTGACACGAGTAGCTTGAGGGCCTTTGGACGGCCCCTGGCGGGAGGGGCAGGCTCAAAGGCAGGACTTCGCGGCGTCCGTAAACATCAAAGAGCGCCTGCGCAAACCGAATGACTTGGGATAGACACATGAGGGCGCTTTAACCAAGATAACAGAAATCGTAACGTGACGGTCTCGCATCTTTCTGTTCTTTCTCTTACAGTTTGCGAAGCACAGCCCCCTTCATTGCCTCTCTAAATTTACGCAACCAGAGTCCTAGTATCATAGAGTGTGAAGGACCAGAGATAGTTCAGAAATTACGGACTCTAGGCCAGACTCTACTTCTGACTTACTGTGTGACCTTGGGTAATTCTGGTTCCTTGGAGACCTAAGTCTCATTTGTAAATGAAAATACGTTGTTGGGTGGATCAAATGAGATGCAAGAGTGAAACTAAATCCTCGAACTGTCTATAACGGCAATATATAGTCAGGAGATTGCCCCTCAGATTGAGGGGCCCATTTCCTCATTCAACAAGTTACAAAACTGAGGGCCCCAAAAGGGACAGGAGCTTGTCCCAGGTCCCAGCAATCTGTGAACAAGAAGCCCTGCACATGCAAGGCAGGGAGGCCGACTTTCATAGCTGACGTAGTTTATAACATAATTCCTTTCACCACTAAGCAATCTGACTACCACTTCCACTTCCTCACCTGTCATTTACTTTCACTGATATTTTCATATTCAATATTTTTTTTTATCTGATGCTTTTCAAAACTCTAATAATAGATTAGTGGTTACCAGGAGTTAACCACTGGTTGGGGGAGAGGGGAATGTTGTGACAAAAACAGGGTAGCAAGAGAGAGATCTCTGTGGTGATGAAATAGTGCTATATCTTGATAGTCACACAAATCTACACATGTGACAAAATGACAAAGAATTATATACACTTCATACCAATATCAATTTCCTGGTTGTGTGTGCTGTAGTTACATAAGATGTAACCAATTGGGGAAACTGGGTAAAGAGTACACAGGACCTCTCTGTACTGTCTTTGCAGCTTCCTGTGGATGGATAACTATTTAAAAATAAAAAAAAATGTTACATGCTTGCTTTGATATGTGAAACAGTACTAAGAACTAAAGAAAAAGCCCCTCTTCATCCCTTGGCATATCCAGTGAGAGCTGACTGATGTATGAAAAAGTAAGGGAGTGCTGAGGGCGAAGGGTGTGTGGAATTACCCCCAAACAAAGGGAACCATGAGCTCAGGGACAAGAGAGTGGCAGGATATAGATATATACACACAAAACTGATAATAGGGAGATGTGGTAAAAGGGGCTTTTACTTTTGTACTCTCTGGGCTTTGTTCTCTTTGAAATATTCACAACAAGCCATGTATTGGATATTACTTGTCTTTTTTTAATGGAAGTCATTTTTATTATTAAAATATATCACTGAGTGCTGTATGGAGAATGGGTGAGGGTGCCAAGGGAGGAGTCATCTAGGGAGGAATGAGGATAACTTGGACCAAGCTGGATATGGTACAGGAAACAGAGAAGTTGATGGATTTGGAGACAGGATGACTAGCTGGTGACTAGCTCAGAACAGAAGGCTGGGAATGGTCAGGGGTGCCCCTAGGTTTCCAGCCTGGTGACTAACTATCAATGGAGGGAGGGGGCATGATCTACTTCATTCATCACTTAGTCTACAGATATTCATTAGCATGGACTGTGGAGACAGGCCCCAGGGATGTGATAGAAGCAAAAAAGGCATCTCAAGCCTTGGGGCACTGACTGTCGAGAAGGGGGTTCAGATGTTTGAAAATAACCTGTCAAATGTCAAATTGCTACTACAACAGAGCTCTGAGAGAGGTGCTCACTCGGTTCACACCCCATTCCCACACTAGTTGGGCAAGTGAAGTGGCATGTGTTCACTGGCCTATCAGTCTCCTCCAGTGCACTGGAAGCTCCGTGGGGCCAGGTCTTATTAACTGTTGTATTCCCTGTGCCTTGGATGTATCAATTGTCAATAAATATTTGTTGAAAAAATTAATGGAGAACACAGAGGTGGATGCATGTGGGAGGTAGTTCAAAGTCTGGCTCCACCTCGCTAAGCCTCAGTTTCGTCTGTAAACATGGAGTTGTGGAGGATGAGCTGAAATAACAGATAGCACAGTGCCTGTGTGGAGTCGTTTCAATGTGATGTTGGCTATATTATTATAGAGGTGATAATGAGTCTGACTTTAGATGTGAAGTCCAAAAATCAGCTGAGCAAGAGAGAGAGTCTGGAGCTCAAAAGTGAAGGCTGGGCTACAGATAGGTCTGGGAGTCAGCAAACAAAGCCTCCAAGGCTGTGGGAGTCAGTGAAACCACCTGAGCTCCAAGGAACATCCACAAGAAAAGGGAGGAGGTTAGAGGAAGAGAGAAAAGAGCCAGAGAAGGAAGCTGAAGCAACAGCTACGGAAATTAGAGGAAAACCAGAAGAGTGTGGTGTAACAAGCCAAGAGACACCATGGGGGGTGGGGGCAGCAGTGTCAGATAGAGGTAGCACACCCGCCATGGAGGTGGCCCACCTTACTCATTTAGTCTGAAAACGTGTATTAAATAATCAACTGGTGCTGGGCCCTGGATTTGGCAGGGCAAGTGGTGAGTGGAGCTGGTGGACCATCCTGAAGGGAAAACAGAGTCCACCTGGGCCCTGTATACCTCACCCTCCTCCCTGAGCTCTCACTTCCTCCAACTGCTATTGAAGAAGCCCACTTCATCCTGGGCTGCCAGAGCCAAGCTAGAGGCACTTTCACCCCTGTCCAGCCTCAAGGCTTGGGGAATGTCCCTCGTTTGCTGGCTCCCTTGGACCACATCTCCCAGCCCCCAAAGTCCTGGATCCTGGCCCCACCCCATTCTCTCTCAGACCCCTGCCCAGCCTACCTCACCACAGACCAGCCGGAGCCCCTCCTCCTCCTCTTGCCACTTTACCCTCAGAGTGGCTGGCGATGAGACTTGGTCTGTATCAGGCCCCGACTCTTCCTCCCTGCCAACCAATTAAAAGAGTGGTGCTCATTGTCCCTCTATTCATTCAGGGGATACGTATGAGGAGCCTTAAGCCAAACCCATGCACTTTCTCCTAAGGAAGTTGGAAGCCAGAAAGCCAGTAGAGGAAAGAGCACGTCTCCAGAAGCTGAAGCTGCCCATAACTCCTCAGCTCAGGGAGTCCCCCAGGCCTTGAGTTCCATGGCAGGGACCCTCCTCAAGAAGCATCTCACAACTCTTGAGTCCCAACCCATCTGGAATAGGCAGCAAGACGCTTCTGTAGGTATCAATTTAAGGAACACAGAAAGAGGAGGGGGGAAGATAAGTATGGGAGTGGGAAGGGAAGGAGATGGGACTAATGCAAGATAGACTGAGAAGGGTGGGAAAGAAGGACATTCTAAGCCACTGGCCTGGGGGAAGGTTGATGAGCCCAACTACCCTGGGCAGCAGCCAGAGGTCAATGAGGTACCAGGGAGAGAATGAACCCAGAATAGACAATAGGGGCAGGGCACAGGCACAGGCAGCCCATTGTGACTATGAACACACATACTCACCAGGGCCCCTGATGGGTAGCAGGAGTGACATCATTTGGCTCTGGCTGCAGCTTCTCTGAGAACCGGGCCAGTAGCTCAGCCTTCTCCAGGAGGCGGTTATCTAAGGATGCAAGAGGGTGAGCCTGGGGTAAAGATAGACACTTTTCAGCAGACTCCAGTCATACAGGTTACCTCTCTGGCTGGGAGGGCTATAGGAGCCCGGGGGTGCAGAATGGGACAGCTACTTGCAGGTGGGGCTCTGCCCCTTGTCTGAGGGGTGTTTATGCAGCTCTACCAGGACTTTTAGCTCTGGCACAGCCTCTTCACAGCACTAGCCCCCAGGCCCTCCGTGAAGACCTGCTCTCCCAGGGACAAACAAGGATGACCA